TTAGTAGTAGAAGGGTTGGATCAAGGCAGCAACAAAATTGTTGAAACCAGCATTAGAAGGCTGGTCTGGTTGAAATTCACACTGCTCTGGAATCACCAAATCAGGGTCATAACATTGTTGGGAGAAGAGATTCTCAAAGGAGAGGCTGCTGACAGGGAGATAAATGAATTGTGATACGCCATGCGCCGTACGTCCATTTACATTTACTGGTGTAAATTGCTATGTGAAGGACCTCTCTTGAGAATTTTTGATGGCGAGCTTTAGGTTCAGCCGAACGAGGCATAACAGCAAAAGACATACCCAAAAAGCAAAAGACATTGCTTGCCATACGCACGGTTCTGGAGGCGAAACTCGTCACCTACCTCCCACCCCCTCTAGTCTTTGTCGGTCCCCATCAAATGATTGTATGCAACCATGAAGGGCGGTATTTTATTCCTTGAGTTTCAAGAAAACAGTCGATTGCTATTTAACTGCGAGTTTCTTCCGTCCGTCAGCGAAAATTCTCCAAACTTGAAATTTTATGTTAACTAATTGTTTCCAGACTTGTTTGGGGGAACGAAAAATTGCCCTGCACATCGTCTGCTCCCGAAATTTATTGCATAGACCAGTTCCATTTCCTAGTCGCAAGTCGCTAGGGCTCTAAGTTGGAAGTAGTATGCGTGACGTAGAGGGGAGATTGACCAGCAAGGTATGCTTACAGGTTGCTTTTATAGGGCCTCAGGATTGAGCGTAAACTCCCTGGGCAGTTTGTTTACTTTTATTGGAGATTTGGTCCTGTCCACGTCTTAGGTAGATAGTTCAAGCATCAGACCCAAGTTTCGAAGTTCAGAGAATTTTCATCATAACGGAGGATACAACCCCTCTGTCAAATTGCAATCGACAGCTTGCATAAAACTCAGGGAGTAACCTAACTTCCTTCATAGTCACAACAACTTAGCAGGAATTCATGCAGACATGTCGTGAATTGTAGCGAATGTACAAATCACGAGCCCACTCGCTTGTTTGAGGTGAGTCAGCTTCGCGAGCAACAGTCACTACATAATGCTGCTGACTGTGCCACGAATTCTTGTGAATCACTGCCTGCAAATGGAATGCAAGGAATGGGGAATTATGTACCAGCGCTATGCAGTGATATAAGTTGTCACCCCGAAATCAAGTACTACGGGAGGCATTTCATAATTTCAAGGGCGAAGATTATCAGGCATTGATGAGGTGAGGTAGGTGTTTCAGTGTTTCACCTCAGTAGCAGCTCTTTAGAAGAAAAAGTGCGAGGGGGGCAAAGAACCTAAGGTCAAAAAGTTGGAAAGCAGCGCATCGCGAACAATTCCGTTTGTCTTACTCTGACTCTAATTAGGAAATCCTGCCTAAAATTACTGTTCGAGGGGTCCACAGACCACCCTGAAGCGCATCACTTGCGTTGCACTCGTCTCCAAAGAAGCCTGGATGACTGGTAAAAAAGGATAGACGGGAGGTTGCTACAAGAATGCTAACCACTGGGCAAAAAGCTTGACCTCAAGGAGGACTCGCAGCCGCTTCTCACCTCAATGGGACGGCATGGCATCTTACAATATGGCTCAGTCAACGTCAAAACATGACCTGGGGGATTTACTCAAGTTCGCCCATTATGTGCTGCTACCGAGAAACAAAATGAATATTGCTAGAGGGGCCTGAGTTACAGCCCTCCCATGTCTCCCCTTCCCAATTTTAACTAAATTCCTTGAATTTCACCTGCCACTCACTATATTTGGATTGTGGTCGCGGGTGGCAATAACCCGCTTATATGCCTTCTTTGAGCCTCTTCCCGTGGGATACAAAATAGTCTTCAATGCGATTGTGCAACCTACGAAATGCGCTTAATGTTTACTGAATTTACATGGAGGGAGTAGTGCTGTTTATGAAAAAATTCCAAAGAATTTGCAGAGGTGGCAATCCCATACCGAAACTCTATCACATGTGAATTACTAGTGACATTTCTTCCATTCTCACAACAAAAATATGTTTTTCGTCCAGAGACCAAAGGTGGAGTTCAGTTTTTGTGGGGTGGGATCTTTATCAAAAACCAGCGGGGCCAAAAACCGTCGCTCTCGTCAGCACTAACAAAACAATTTCTGCTGATATCCTTGTAGCGCACTAGTCCCCTTTTTTCCTACCCAACAACCAGTAAAATTAATTAGCCCCGTCTGGCATTATTTATCATTCGAATAATGTTTCCTCGTTGAACAAACGAATAAAAGTGCTCACCATCGCCAAGTACTCCTCGTGGTAATATTTGTGTGATATCCATACGCAATACATCAAGGTACAGGGTACGTTTCACGCGATTGTCGACCACCCTTTTCATCTGTTTATTCACACGTCTCCATTTCACGACATCGAACGGTGATGAGTAGTCAAATATGAGGTTCCTGAAAGGAAAACTTCTAGAATGCGCTGAGCACGTCGTTCTTAATGAACTGCATAAACTCCTGGATGGTTCCTCAGCAGTACAACCAGCGGAACCCAGTTTTCCATAGTTTAGTATACCAAGCCGCTGTGCAGGCCGCAAAAGAGGCGCTACCAGCTTGGGTTATTCGCGCAAGGACCAACTCACCCAACGAGGCAATCAGGGAACGTCCTGCCGTTGGGGAAGTGCCGGCTCTCCATGAACCTCGGCACTGGGTAGTTGTGGCACTGGCATGGTCGGGTAGGAAGTTGGGGCAAATATTCGTCAAAAGCGAGCCACCCCCCCCCCCTCTTTCAGACTTGTACGACCCACTCTGCTTTTCTCGTACCCCAACTACCTAATTTTACCTAACATCTTCAACTCTTTACCCGGAGGTTTTTTTCAAAAATATTGCCGTCGAGCGGAGGGAGCGTAGCGCATGTAGAACAGGAAAAAACCAAGAAAATTACCAACCAAAAATGTATCTCAAATGAATACGGCAAACCTCCCCTCCTCCCGATGGGAGTCCCCAACGTACCACGTGCTGTGGTAGAAATATTGTAGCGCGCCAAGCCGTCTAGCTACGAATTATCCTACTAGTTTGCATGGGATCTCGTATGTCATGAACTACATCTAATTTGTCTTCCTTAGAATTTCACCAGTTTGGTGTGGACCCTACTATCAGGACCAAGAACCTACGGGCGGACTTACTCCTTCATGTCCATGAGGGCTAGATAGTATGCAAGCAGTGATTCTGTCTTTTGGAGCGAAAAGCCTCACATGGGATCAACTGAGCTCCAGAAGGTTACGCCTACGGCTTTCACATCAAATCGCCTCCATAATTCTGATTAGTGTGGAGGCTAAATACTTTTAATCTCCCGGATCTATCACTACACATCATGGAGATCTCTGCGAGTTCTTAATATGGATACATTGGTTGTTCGAATCCTTACGGGTACCTTCACCGATCAACATCAAGTTTGTTTTCAACAACAAAGAAGTGATCAAGTTCCGTTTAAACTGATGACGAACGGGCTGTGAAACCTCATCGCTCATCTCGAATACGAGAACTTCCCAACAACAACTGAACCTTCTCAGACAGACAACATGCTCACTTTTGCGTTGGGACGTGGGAATTGAGAAAAAACTGTCAGGTCAAATATCAGCGGCTCAGAAGGCGGCTCAGCCTAAGCTCCGAAAATTCAGATGGAATTTGTTAACTCCGATTGTTCACTGGTCGGAATTTACAAATTCTCTCCGAATATTCGGGTTATGAGCTTCTCCAGACTTTTTCAGTTTTCAAGCATCTTATAACGGCTAGCATAACGACTTAGCCATTCCACCTGGCTTTTCAAGTGGGCTTTGTTTGCCTACTTGAATGCCTACCGCACCACTTGTGCTGGTACCATTCGCTTAGACTAAAGAATAGATGACGAAGTCATTAGGCCCTGTTTGCCATCCCCTCAGAATAATGCACCCATTCAGGTCCATACGATTATCCTACAAACTGCTAGGCATGATCAGGGCTAAAATCTCTGCAATATCTGCAGAAAGGTCAACCTATGTCCTAATTGGGACGCATTCTCGGAGCGAGCGACTTGAGGACAGACTGGTGGCGATGGTGAAACTGGTCACGCAAGGTATTCAAGGCTGACTATTCATGGTTCCACTTACCCTTAACGATTTCAAGAGTGTTTCGGGATTTAACGATCTTGAATTAGCAAATATTTGGCGATTCGAGGTCTGGAGTGCCTCTTCACATCATAATTAGATGCCCTTCCCAAGGACCTTCATAGAGGACTTCCAGCCGGTACTTGATCAGCGTTAATACTAAGTGTCCCCAAAGCGAACATTCAGGGTCAAAACCAACATTCCAAGGAAAACCAGTCACTTCATTCATTCAAACTGAAAAATCACAAAACTCAATGCTTACCAAACGTTTTCAGGAAGTTCCTGGGCGGATACGCTCTTCGTATGGAGTTTCTTTTTCGATACAGATTGAATTTTCATGTCTTTCTCGACGTTCAATTTAGCGAGTAACTTTCGAAGTTTACCGCTAAGCATTCTGAAAATGGACATAAACAATTTTGGAACTTTGTCAACAACTGAGGTAACCAGCATCAGCGAGAACGAACAGGAACTCAGCGACAGAGACAGTTGCGACGGAGTTTTCGAATAGAAAAAGCGGCACGAAAAATGGCACGATGTTGAAGAAGAACGAAGTGGACAAAAGTGAATGAGGCGGAGGAAACACGAGTCGTCTAATAAATCCATTTTATTTTAATATTTCATGTATATGTAAATACGGTACTTCATACAGTAATTGTTTAGTATGCATATGATAATGTTTCATACGGTAATCTTTCAATGGTTGACAATGCTTGACCACGCTTTTGTTATCTTACTGTACCTATGTGCCCTCTAACCAAGAATACTTCCATTCTGAGTTTGAAGCATAGATGCACGAGCACCTGAAAGGAGGGAACCAGCTCGAGAGAAACCAGCCCAAGTAGGCGAAGGATCCAAGGATCAAGAGTTCTTTCGCGGTCTAGGGCGGCACGCCCACCTATGCTTCCACTTCCCGGAGATGGGGAGGGCGTTGCTACGCACTTCAACGTGGTGACGGTTGCGCTACAAGTAAGATATTGCCGTTCTGGGACAATCGGAATCTTCTCCTTGTCTAGCACCAGACGGAGTTACAGTTGTTCCAAATAGAAATTTTCCATAAAAACGCATCCATCGCCATATTCCAGTGAGGCACGCAGCTACTCCTCAGTGTCGGGCGGTGTACGGAGGATGGGGTGGAGTGTAGCTGTGCGCCACGAAGTAGAACTGAATACGACTATCTAAAGAATGAAGTCTAGGTTGCTGAAGTGATTGGACAGCTAACTCGATAATAAAGGAGAGCTTAGTGAGGGGCGGAGAAAAGTAGGAGAATGTTTATCCCAAGAGCTGCATCGTCAAGCAGCAGTAAAACCTAGGAATAGATAATACTAAACAAGCTTGAGAGCAGGTGAGAACTACAGCTGTTCATGGCGAAAAAAGCTCCGGAAAACTGAATCAACTCGAAAACATGGAAACATCTGCTGTAACGCTTGTATGAAAACAATCGTTGGAATTCGTAAGGAAGCTATTCATAAGGCTTTTTGTAAAAGTGCGGAAATGATCATGAAGCATTCTTTCAAAAGATGGTGAAGCCACGAAAAATTAGGAAAAAAATTCCGCTAGTGTCAAATGACACTACTGGGCGCTGTAGTTACGGAATGGCGGTCTTCTTGATAGTAATTACCAAAGAACAAGCAATTTCTCCTCCAAAAATGCAAAAAGAAAAGCTATACCCAATCAGAGTACATTCAGCAAGAAGAGAATAAGTAGCAGACGAAAAGCAGTAAAATCTGAAGAAC